AAGAGGAAAAAAGGTTTTTTAGGTCACCAAATACATACCGTCATGAGCCCACCTAGTTAGTTTACCGGATTTTGGATAGTTACTAAAGAATCTGGCAGACTACTAGCAGAAGTAGAAGAAGGTGTGGTGGCAGAAGAAACAGCAAAAGCAGACGAAGCTATTTGAGAGTTAGGGTAAGAGAAATTTAGCAGACTAAAAAACTTAAAGTTCAAGAAATGATAAAGAAAGCAAGAGAAGTGACCAGAATATAGAAATGAGTTTATATCGGTAGAAGGCGCTCAGAAGTAAAGTGACATTTTGGTTTTTCAAACATGCCACCTGGCTTATGTTACCAGCCATTGGCACGCGAGGGCATTGTTTAGGCTATATATGAACGTCACTCAAATAGGTCACAAGGCTAGTTGGGTTGAGTAATTTAAGTGTCAGGCCCAATATAAACAAAAGAGGCCAGCCTGAAGCTCAATAAAGTCCATAACAAGTAAACATGTCAAAATCTCGTCAGCTTCAAAATCAGACCATTGGCATGAAGGCACGATCCTAAGTAATGTTGAAATCTATACCCAAGTAATTCAGTGAAACGGGCTAGTTATCAAAAGGAAAGGCTTCTGCTATTCGACACTATAAATAAAAAGAAGAAAAATAGAGAAAGCTAGTCAACACCCAATCAAGACTCGCATATTTTACATTCTTTAGTCCTTTTCAGTTCTTAGTTTTTTTTAGTTTGTAATTTTCTACACTTCAATAAAATTATACACTTTTTCTACTAAAGCCTTCTATCTTTTTACATCCGAGCGAACTGTGGTAAGGAAACTTGGGACCCTTTTCATTATCTATTGAGACTCAGCGTTTCTGGCACGCTTGATATTTATTGTTCAACCACGAACACATATCTATTTTCCAGCTAGACTTTTACGAGGTGGTTGACTATAGGAGCTTGATTGTTGCCTTTGACAGTGGAAGAATGTTGGCAACCATCTCGTAATTCACGCTGATGAACGCATACAATGTCTTTGTCGAAATGCCCATGAGGGATGTCTCTTCAATTCCTTGATCAGGCTTTGCTTAGGTGGGTTTTCGTGATTGGGTTTTTTGTCTTCTGCATCAGATGAGGATTTACTCCAACATCGTTAAATTATTGAACAGGTTTCTTGTTCACCAACATCATTATTATTGTCACCAATAAGGTAGGTGTCGTCCAAGGTAGTTTTTCAAGGAGGGCATTTTGGTCTTTTGAATAAAAATTATGCCATGATTTCTTTGTGAACATACCAAGCATGTTTTTAAGCCCTATTTCCGTTTCCACTTTCATCAAAAATCGATCTCAACGTATCAAATGGGGCTAGTTTATCTCTTTTGGAGCATTGTTGGAAATTTCCAAGTTGCACCAATTAGGCTTCCAATTCCAATTCCATTCTTTGAATGAGTCCTAAATCTATCAATTCAAAACGCGTGGATCTCAAAGCTATCACTCCTCTTTCAATGTCATATTTACAATTTACATTTACAATATGATAGAACTCTCTTTGTTTTAAATTATATTTCACGTTTTAAAATATAAAATATTTTAATAAAAATAAATTTTATTAATTATATTTTTTTATATATTGTCTTGTCTTAATATTCTTTTATAAATAGAGTATTAAATAAATGATGCTTTTAAAAGTTTAAATTTTTGTTTTAAAAAGTTAAGAATGGAAAGTGTATTTAATAAATTTTATTAATATATTTAATTTTATTTAAAAGTATTTTATAAATTGGGATAAAGAAAGTAAAATGTGTGTGTGCTGAATTTGTGGATATGCACTCTTTTGGATCGTGCGTTGCAAAATTTTCTGTCCCTTCAAACCAAATTTCAACAATAATATGTGGGTGTATGTCACATGTGTGTCCGCATTATATCTCAATTTTTAAGGTGGGACAGGCAGAATCTTATGGGTGTTTAGAATATATAATATGAAGATTCTACGTTTGTTTTAGTCCAATAATGTTTTTCTATTGAAAAAAATAATGATTTTAGTTGAAAGTTATAATTTGCACGTATTTCATAGGTTCGGGTATAGTCTGTTTCAGGTCTACACCAAAAAGTTTAGAATATTTGATTTAATATTAAACTTTTACTTTTTAATAATTTATTTTGTTGATTATATACATATGATTATATGTATGTATACATGTATGTATGTGACTTTTTAATGAAATTACTTATTTTTCTTTACGGTCATCGATCACATCAGGAGTGAAATAGCAATATTATATTGGGGTTTAACATCATCTTAATTTTCATTCAAACTTACATCATCTTAATTACCTTTACAATCATCATAAAATCATATGAGTAAATTATAATGACCTTCAAATTTTTTAAAATTATAGACAACTCCCCTCTGTTTTCAAAACCACACTTTAATCCATTTTTTAACACTGTTAAAATTATTTCATTTAAGATTCTAAAATGCTTTATTATATTGATTAAAATATGTGGAAAAATTAAAATTATTAATCTTCGCTCATAATCTAATGCATTCTCTCTTCTCATATTTTAAAAAATATTATAGTTATATTTATATAAACATTTTTCAAAATATTAAAATTAATAAACTAAAATTATATTAAAATTAATAAAAAATATAAATTATATCAATTAATTTATATCTCATTATATTAAATTCTTAACTCTTTTGTGTGCCAAGAAGTTTTTTAATTTGTGATCATTTAGAAACTTAAATGACTCTTGAACAAGGTTTATGTTGTATCCAAAATATATGATTTAATTGTTAAGTGTTGCACTCTTCGCAAGAGTACGGACCATGACAAGTAATATAAAGTGAATAATGTATCATTCCCACAAAGATTTGTTTAAAAATAATGATCAAGTAAAAAACTTAGCAAATTCAATTAAGTTGAGTAGAACATAATTAGATGAGGTTGATTTACAAAATTAAATTAAAATTGGAAAATAAAGAAAATAAAATGATTCTCAAACTTCAAGCACCAATTAGAACCTATGATTATTTATTCTCTTTGCATTTCATAATACTAAAATTACCTCCTCTTATAAATGCTTTTAATGAAAATAAGTGCTAACAAAGAGCTCTAAAAATACTTGAACAAACTCTCTTAAGACAAGAATAAGTGTTTAACAAAATTAATTTTTCAATCTCTTGGCACAATTTATAAAAGCCAATTTTAAGTACTAACCCTAATGTGGCTATGCAAGACTAATAATATATCTCTATCTTATTATCAAAACTATCTATTAATCTTGCAAACTCTTCGAGTTCTTACACAATTTTATTCAAGTTTTACACTAAATCTAGCCCTCTTAAAAATTAGTCAAGTGAATCCAATATATAAATGGTGCTAATCACTTAAAAGCATTAAGAGAAGAGTGAAATAAACACTTATATATCATTAATTATAAAAAGAGAGGATAAATTAGTGTTAATCTATACAAGGATTCTAAATAATTCGAGAACAAAGTGTTTAGCTACTCATAATCATTCACAAGCTATAAATATACAAAATATTTGAACCCATATTAGATTAGAAGAGAGAAAAGGAGAAGAAATAGAAAAATCAAGAGAATGGTGCCTCAAATGTTTTCAAATCTTCATTCCGATCCCTTGCTCCAACTTCTTCCAACAACAAAACCCTAGCACACAAAGCTCCTAATAGAGGCTCAAAGTCTGAAGATGATCGTGGTTGAGCTAGCAGCATATATGTGTCCTACCTAAGCAATTTCAAATTAATAAAATATAATGTTTTTTGACAGTGATGAGAGTCAAGAACAAAGTCTTTGCATTAGAATGACTTCGGACAGTTTTGCACTCTTTTTCAATTAACATGACAACTCCCTTTGACATATGATTTCTTCATCCAAAAAGCTTCCAAAAGCATTAACAAAGGTCTGGAAAATGCATCTAATTAAACCTTAAACCAAAATAATACAAAATTAGCCCAAAAAGTATTGAATTTAAAAAAAATGTGCAAACCTAAAGTAAGATACACATTTTCCTAATTTGGGTAATCAAAATATATACAATTGAGCTAAAATATATTAGAATCTAAGAAAAATATGCTCAAATGATATGAAATTTTAGATGTTATCATTAATTAACGGTTAGATTGATGGAAATAAAATATTTAAAATATGTGTTATGTGATTTTTGATTTCAAGAAAGGTTTATGTAGGTTCTTAAAATAGAAAAGAAGTCTTTGTAATTAAGGTAAAATAGAGGGAGGGTTGGTATATTTTACTCAAATAATATTAGTTAAGCATATGACATTAAAAGAAAAGAATAAATTTAATATATTAATCCCTAAATGTTGAAATGATTATTGAATTATTAAATCAAAAAAATCATTTTTAGAGTTTACGTAATAATGTGTTAAAAATTTTATTATTTTTTTAAAAAATTTATATGTATAAAAATTATTTAGATGACAACATAATTATATAAATTTTTGGCAAGAAAAAAATATGTAGTTAATTCTAAATTTATATGATTTTTAATAAAAATATAAAATTTATTAATTTCAATTTTTAAAAGAAAAAATTCAAGTATTTTAATTTTTAAGGATTAAGAAATTTAATTGATCAAATTCGAAGAAATTGATTGAAACAAAATAAAAGACAAGAACTTAATTTAAAATTGAGAAAAAATTATAAGTACCTACAAATTTATTTTTGTAAAAAATTAAGATTCTGAACTATATTTTATGAATTATATATATATATATATATATATTAATAATTGACAAGTGAAAGTTTAAATTTTGATGAGTAAATTCCTTATTTGATATTAAAACATTTTAACAGTCATTAATATTCTCCCTGTTCTTTTCACAAGCCGTAAGCATGTGATCACTTGACGTATGACCACTGAACTCAATGTTGGCGTCTTCTCTCATGGTCATGGGGTCATTGTTTTGAAGTTTCCAGCCCATCTTTCTTCAGTTGGTCTTCAAATCGAGCATTCTGCAACATTAAGCTCACTAGACCCAAGAAGCACCACATATATACTACCTCGTTCTGCTTCCTTCTTTATCTCTTTGCAAGGAGCCAACCCTACACACATAATCGATCTCGACAAATTAATAGATGCTTCCACCTAATTTCGTTTCTTTAATCATCACCTTCATCGTATTCTGGTCATGGTGGACGCTTGACGGCGTCGTTTCTGATCCCCAGACCCATCTTGTAAGGCCAGGGTGCACCCCATCCGAATTGCCACACTCGACCAACTTCTCCGGCATGGAGGACAGTTTAAACGCAACGTTTAGAGACATCAGAGAGCAGATCATCACTCAGAACAAGTATTTCGCGACGGCACAAGAAGGAAGAGGAGAAAGCCCTGCAATTTCCACTCTTTTTCAGTGCAGAAATTACCTCTCCGTTCATGACTGTGTTGCCTGCTTTGACGTTGCTGCCATTGAAATTCGCCACTGCCCCGCTGCGGCACTTGGTGGTGGCCGTGTTTTCTACGACGGCTGCTTCCTCAGGTACAACTCCTCCACCAACCACCAAGTATAATGCTTCTCCTCCTCCATCTTACAGATAAGGTTTTTATTGGCTATTATTAAACAAAAAATATTGGGTTAAAGGGTAAATCTACACATAAAGTAGTCGGTCAGAAGCACTCAGTATTATAAAATAAAAAAAGAGGTATAAATACCCATAACATTACATGAGTAGGTGCAGAAGTGACCAAGTTATTAACTTTGCCCTGTCAGCATTAAATGTTGGTGTTAAATACTGACTGTGCATGTCATATGTCAGATTTTGTTGACTTAGACTAAAAAAGAAGGCAAAAATACCCACGAAGTCATTAGTCAGGGGCATCCAATAGCCTTAAGTAAGAAAAAAGGGAAAAAAATAACTATAATGTTACTAGAGTTGGTGCATAAGTAATTAATTCATCAAATCCCTTAAATATTAATTGTTTAGCTGACACCTAAGTAAAAGTTGACTATTTTTTTACTGATGTAAATAAAAAATATTTTTAGGTGAATTTCCTTGATCAATCATTGTATAAGTACTCATAATGTTACTTTAATAAGTGCAATAGTGACTAATTTGTCAAAACTTGAGATTTAACACAGTGAAATAGGTTGTACACAATTGAAGATTGAGACTAAGCATATCTCTTATGCCACCCTACTTTGAGAACAATGTCACAACTTTAAGCAGTTTCATTTATAATAGGTTCAAAATTATCAAATGGTTTTGTCACTACTTTAAAGAAGCGAGCAATTTAATTTGATATTCGATCAAAATAACATTTCCCACATAGTATTCATACGATGATTGATTAGCCTCCATAGAATTTCATCTAGGAATATTTTTTTCCACGTTAGCAAAAAAATGGTCAACTTCTACTTAAGTGTCAACTAAATAGTTAACATTTAAGAGATTTGATGAATTGATCACTTTTGCATCAACTCTAGTAACGTTATGAGTATTTTTGCCCTTTTCACTTTAAGCTACTACATGCCTCTAGTTGACCACTTCATGGGAATTCTTATCCCTTTTTTAGTCTATGTCATCAAAAATTGACATATGACAAGCGTAATTAGTATTTAACACCAAAAATTAATGCTGGTAGGAAAAAGTTAACGATTTAATCACTTCTGCACCAACTCATATAACGTTATGGGTATTCTGATGAATATGTATATCTCAATTTATATGTATAATTAGATATGAAAATAAAGTAATTCATGCGTACCTGAAGAATCCATGAGTGTTAGAGAGATCTCGATTACCTCGAGTATAGGCAGGTACACAACCCACAGGTCCTAGAGCTTTTAGAGAGTTTAGAGATAATGGAAGTAGAAGAAGTGAGTCGTATGTTTGCGGTTACCGACTAATCGTCTTATATAGATCAGATCGGTAACCGCCTTATTAAATAATTAAATAATTATATTATCTATTATCTCTGACTCAGTCAGTTAAGAGATAGGAAATAACTGACGGCTATTGGATTGTGGGTTGGGCCTCTGCTCATTGGGCTCACTTGTGTGGTTCACCTATCATGGTCCAAAAGATCATAAAGACCAATCTATTGGGCTTATTAATTAATGCTAATTCATAAATAATATTCCAACAATCTCCCACTTGGATTGCATTAATTAAGCAAGTTGTATAAACAAACCACAAACAAAATTCAGAAAATAAAACTCCACAAAATCACTGAATCCTATGGGGAAACAAGTGATATGATATCTCATAATTGAATAAAATATGAAATTTTTATTTCAAACACAGTTCAATAAGATAACAACATAAATCACTGATTCCTATGGGGAAACAAGTGACATGCATAGCGTACCACAACAGAATCATTGAATCCTATGGGGATACAAATGATATAGATGCATCTAACTGAACTAAACATAACTCATAGAAGAAAACAAAGCCTAAAGAGAAATTGCAACATAAAAGGTTCTCAAACTCCCACTAAACTAGGGCATCAAAGGAATTCATAATACCCATACAAGTTACATGATTTTGAAAAACTTCTATAGGTAAGCCCTTAGTCAGCGGATCTGCAAGCATCTGCGTGCCAGGAATGTGTACCACAAGGGTTTGAGACTCAGTAATTTTCTCTTTCACAAACATAAGTTTGATATCAAAATGCTTTGTACGACTGGAATTTCTGTGGTTGTTAGCATAGTATACTACAGATTTGTTATCACAATAAATGGTTAGAGGACGTGATATTGACTCAACTAGGTGCATGCCAGATATTAACTTCCTCAGCCATATAGCGTGACGTGTAGTCTCAAAGCAAGCAATATACTCAGCTTCCATAGATGAAATTGCCGTAAGTGTCTATTTCATACTCTTCCGAGAGACAGCTCCTCTAGACAACATGAAAATATAGCAAGTCATGGATTTACGATCATCTAGACAAGAGGCAAAATCTGAATCTGAGAAGCCAACAATTTCAAGATCTTCTGATCCCTTAAAGTCATAATCAAAATACCCAACAACCTCAAGAGAATTTGACCTTCTGTAAGTCAATATATGATCCTTTGTACCTTGAAGATACCTCATAACTTTCTTAGCAGCCTTCTAATGATCCGGACTTGAATCATTTAAGTATCGACCCAGCACTCCAATAGCAAAGGCTATATCTGGTCGAGTACACACTTGAACATACATAAGGTTGCCAACAGCGGAAGCGTATGGTATCTTTCTCATTTCAGCCTTCTTCTTATCATCCTTGGGACACTGTAACTTTGACAACAGCTCACCTTTCTGTACAGGAGCAGGTGAAGGAGAACATGAATCCATTATGAATCTCTTAAGTACCCGCTCAATATAAGTGGCCTGTGATAAACCAAGAATACCACGAGATCTATCACGATAAATTTGTATCCCAAGAACGAAGGAGGCTTCACCCATGTCCTTCATGTCAAAATGGCAAGACAATAGGTGCTTTATCTCATTGAGGAAATTTATTGAATTGCTGGCTAATAAGATATCATCAACATAGAGAACAAGAATGGCAAAATTGTTCCCATCAAACTTCTGATAGATGCACTGATCTGAGACATTCTCAACAAAATCGAGAGAGTTGATAACTTCATCAAATTTCAGATACCACTCCCTAAAGGCCTGTTTTAGCCCATAAATGGATTTCTTTAATCTGCACACTAGATGTTCTTTATCGAGTTTAATAAAACCATCAGGTTGTGTCATGTAGACTTCTTCATACAAATCACCATTCAAGAACGTAGTCTTAACATCCATCCGGTGAAGATCAAGATCAAGCTGTGCAACTAAAGCCATTACCACTCTAAAAGCATCTTTAGTGGATACCAAATAGAAGGTTTTTATGTAATCAATACCTTCTTTCTGGTTGTAGCCCTTAGCTACAAGTCTGGCTTTATATCTGTCAATTTCACCTCTAGCTCCTTGTTTTGTTTTAAAGACCCACTTGCAACCCACTGGTTTAAAACCCTTTGGTAGCTCTACAAGCTCTCATACGTGATTGCGGTACATAAAGGCAATTTCTTTACTCATAGCCTCCAACCATTTAGAAGAATGCGAGCTAGAAATAGCCTCTTGGTAAGATATTAGGTCTAAACTATCAATAGCATCTAAATTAAATTCTTGCAAATACACCATGTAATCATCTGGAATAGCAGACCTGCGAACCCTTTGGGACCGTCTTGGTTCAACAACCAGATCCCTATCACCTTCTAAAAGTGGTTCATCTTGAGCTTCATCCTGATCCACGGTATTATTTCTGTTAACATGAGGGTTTGTAAAGATAGGCATAGGCAAAATGCTACTTTCGTCATGCAAGGTAATATGCCTAGGCACAGAGCTCCCACTGTCTAAGGCATCTTCAAAGAAATAAGCTCAGTCAGATTCAATTACCCTAGTAGTGTGATTTAAACAATAGAATCTATACCCACGAGATTCGATGCAATAGCCAATAAAGAAACCATCAACAGTTTTAGCATCAAGCTTCATCTGTTGTGGATTGTAAGGTTTTACCTGTGCTTTACAACCCCAAACTCACATATGCTTCAGCGCAAGAGTCCTTCCAAAATACAACTCATATTGAGTCTTTGGAACTGACTTGCTAGGAACTTGATTCAAAATATAAATAGCAGTTTTAAGTGCATCACCCCACAAGAATTCCGGCAGTGAGAAGTGACTGATCATGCTCCTAACTATATCCATGAGAGTATGATTTTGCCTTTCTGCAACCCCATTTTGCTGCGGGGTCCCAGGCATAGTATACTGAGCTTCAATGCCATGTTCTTGAAGGTACAAAGTAAATGGCCCAGGGTTCCTGCCAGTCTTAGTATATCTCCCATAAAATTCTCCTCCTCTATCAGATCTCACATACTTGATTAGCTTGTCAGATTTCAATTCGACTGCTACTTTAAAGGTCTTGAATGCATTAAGGGACTCACCCTTTTCACACAAGAGTTCAATCCATCCATGACGAGAGTAATCATCCGTGAAGGTGATGAAATATTTGAAACCACCCATAGCCGGAGGCATGATAGGTCCATAGATATCAGTATGGATTAGGTCTAAAGTATTTTCAGACCTCTTTGCCCCTTTGGTTCTAGCTCTAGCAGGGAATTTTCCCTTTATACAGTTAACACAAGTCTCAAAATCTGAGAAATCAAGGTCTCGTAAGACATCTTGCTTGATCATTCGCTCCAATCTCTCTCTAGAGATATGACCTAAACGACGATGCCATAACATAGAGGAATTATTATTGGGCCTTTGATGTTTATGCCCAATAGTAGCATTGACATGAAGATTAGGAAGTTCAAGTGACCAATCATTCAATCGATATAAACCATATATCAAGGAAGCAACACCAACATTAATGGAATCAAAACAAATGTCAATTTTCCCATTTTCTTGGAAGAATGAATAGCCACAAATATTTAATGCAGAAGTTGAAATTAAATTCCTCTTCATAGAAGGTACATAAATAACATTGTTCAAATGTAAAACATGACCAAAATTTAAATACAAAGAAACAGTTCCAATGCATTCAACTGATGCCTTGCTCCCTGCTATGCCAAAGACTGACCTCTGTGCCTCACTTGGAACCTTCTGGTTTCTTAGCCCCTGTAGAGAATTCACAACATATACAGTAGCACCAGAATCCAGCCACCATGAGTCAAAGGAAGTTTCAATGGTGTTAGATTCAAAACAAACTAGAGCTAGAGGGGTAGTTTGAAGAGTTGTACCTTCACTTTCTTATTTGTTCTTCAATTTGAAGCAATTAGCTTTAATGTGACCCAGTTTCTTGCAATAATTGCATAACCCCTTAAAGGGTTTCTTCCTCGACTTCTCACTCTTATCACCATTCTTCTTAAAGGTTGGATTATTAGGCTTTGGGGCATCATACTTCTTCCCTTTTTTCTTATATGACCCTCCAGATTTGCTGCTAGAGCCATGGAAAACATAGTTTATTGAGTGAGAGGAATTCTTCTTTATAGCTTCCTCTTCTTGAGTAACTATCGATATCATCTGGTCAATAAACCATTCAGCTTCTTGTGAGTTGTATGAAGTCCTCAAGAATGCGTACTCTGATGGCAGTGATTGAAGAACACGGTAAACCAAGGTACTTTCACCCAAATCAATCCTATATGACTTAAGCTTGTTGTAGTAATGAACAAGCTTCAGAATGTGCTCCCTAACACCAGAAACTCCGTTGTATCGAGTATTGTCAAGAAGTGACAGATAGTAGTTCTTTTGAGTCTTGTCAAGCTTCTTGTATTTGTTACCAATAGCTTTCAAGTACTCTACTGCAGTATCCTTTTCAAGAATGCTGTCCTTAATTCCCTTTTCAATTGTGCACTTGATGATCGTTAGACAGATCCGGTTGGACTCACTCCATTGTTTATGGAAGGCCGTTTCAGAAGCACTGGACTCAGAAGAGAGATCCACAGGCTTGGGTTCTCTCAGAGCTAAATCTTTCTCAGAAATGGTCAGATACATAGTCAGGGACTCTTTCTAGTCATCATAATTAGTCCCATTGAGAGCCTTCACAAAGGATAGTTGCGTAAAAGCGAAAACTAAAATCGCAAAACAAAAAATGGGAAATATTAATTATGTGTGCACAACATAATTATAAAACAGAATTCCCCAACAAGCAATTATCAATTATGCAACTATAATCATGCACTAAGAAGGCTCATATACCATAAAGATTTAGCTCACACAAAAGTCCACACAAAATAATGCATTAAACATTTTCATACCTATAGGGTATAATAAATATTTAATACATTAAAGGAGTGCTATTAGCCTATTCTCAAAGCCAACCATCAAAATCACATTAATAATGTCATACCTATAGGGTATGTCCATTATCAATGCTACAAGATCTTAAGCATCATCAATAATTTACAAAGTCATAAATTTTATGACCTTAGGACAAAACAAAATAATTTTAAAAGGTCCTTAAGGTCTTTTGGGATTTAGGAAACAAATTTAGGACTTAAGTGAAATTTTGAAATTAATCAAGGAAAAATAAGTAATTTTGGAAGAGATTTGGGTCAAAACTGCAATTCTGAAAATTAAGGGACTAAACTGTAATTTCCAGAAATATAATGGGGATAATTCATAAATTCAAGAAATTTTGGGTCGAAGGAGGTAATTTGAAACTGGGGCCAAAACGAAATTAACAGAAGTTTTTTTTTGGGAACCAGGCCCAAATTTCATGTGGGCCCAAATAAAGAAACCGGATCCCTAGGATCCGGTTTCGTATGCCCTGCAGTTTCTCCCCAATTTTTTTTGATTTGGGCCCAAACAAAATTGTGGGCCCCTGTCAGACGAACCGGATCCCTAGGACCCAGGATCCGCTTCGTCTGACCCGATTTCTTCTCCCCTTCCAGACTGCCGTTGAACTTGGAAGCCATAGGAGGACATTGCAGCTTGTGCGGTGACCAAGACTGCCAGAGGACATTGAACCTATTGACGACCACCACGCCGGTGGTCATGCAACGTCCTGCCACCATGCCGGCAGTGGCTCCGGCGAGTCCAGAACCATCAAAAAACGCTGACACCAAACGGCGACATAGTTACAGACATGGGAGGGAAGAAAGTGACGTTGCCATGAACGAGGGAAGCCATGGGGAAAGCTTCACAACGCTGTGAAACAGAGAGCCAGTCGACCAGAGGCTGAATTCCGTTGAATGTGAGGGCAAGGCGACACTAACGGCAGCAGCGATGACAGAACCTCTTTTTATTTTTTTTTAAGATTTAAGACCAAAATTTTCCCATTCAAAACTCATATTCATACTCATTCTTGAGTAATATGGATCATAAAAAAAATTATTAATATGAGCATGAATTTTTATCAATATATCAATATATACATAAGAAGAATTGAGATATTTAAATTTTAAATTTGTTACCAAGGCTCTAATGCCACGAGATCTATCACGATGAATTTGTATCCCAAGAATGAAGGAGGCTTCACCCATGTCCTTCATGTCAAAATGGCAAGACAATAGGTGCTTTATCTCATTGTGTAGTAATCAAACTGTAGGAGAATCCACAAAATTTAACTCAACTGTACTACAAGTGCTAATGAATCTGCAAACAACACCACCCAAAAAACAAGGGTTTTTTGCAGCCACAAAGATAGAATTGCCTGAGGTTAATGGTACAACTATTTATGTCTTTGCTCAATGTATTGAAACTATCACTCAGAGTGGGTGCTTCCAATGCTTGAACATTGGGTACAACAATATGCCAACCTGTCTTCCCAATTCGGATGGTCGGGCTTATGCTGATGGTTGCTTCATGCGATACTCCACAACATCTTTCTTCCCTGATAATTACCAGACGATTGATGTCACTCCCGCGTCAGGCAAACAAGGTACGGTTAATTCAAAGGTTTCAATATCACTCCCTTGAAACAAAAAGGTGCAATTTATTCTAAGGTTTACATTTAACGAGACACTATGATATGAATTTAACTTGCATATGTATACCCTGCTATAAGTTGTAGGGTTAAATGGAAATTTAATCTAAACTATAAGCCTATGGACGATTTGAACTCTAAATAATTAAATATGCAACAATCCATTAATTTAGAAGCAAGTTGTTCTTTTAGGGAAAATAACAATCAAGGATTGCTGGAGAAAATTTATACAAGTCAAGGACTAATTATTATCAAAACTTGAATGAAAAACAAACTCGAATAGATTGTTGTATATTTAGAATGAGTTGTTAAAACTTAAATGAATACTTGTTGATAAAAGACTAATCCAAAACAACAAATATTCATTTGAGTTTTGATAAAAAGTGATCAATGATTGATATTTTCTTGATGTTTTAAGCACGGTAGGTCCCATATTTTCTCTTCCCACATTCTCTCTTTGAGCGCATCTCTAGCTCTTCCTCTATCTCTTCTCCTCTCTTTCTCCTATCTCTCACTCTTCACTCCTATCTAGAGCTGGGAAAACAGCTTGGCCTAGTCTTATAGGGCTGGCCCTTAATGGGCTTAGGCTTAAAAGGGCCAGCCCGTTTAAGCTCGAATTCCCTTTATGACCCTAAAATGTGAAGCCTGGCCCTCAACATAGCGGCCTCAGGACTGGCCCTATGAGCTTTAGGCCCTTTTAACTATTTTTATTTTTTTTCAAATTTTTTTATCAAACAAAAAATTACCTCTTTTCAATATAATATCCAATCAAAAAATAATGAGAAAATTAACTAAACAACATCTAAATGAACTAAAAATACAAATAAAATGACAACAAGGCACTAAGCAATGGATAAGCCAAGCCAACAAACACCCAATTTAGATCATATGAGATTAATGGACTAAAATATGAGATTGAAAGATCTAGATGAATTAGGGGATTTAGGGTTTTTTTTTTTTGGCCTTCCTTCTTCAACAAATATGGGCTCACATGTGATGTGAAATAAGATTTAGTTTAATTTTCTTTTTCAAGTCTAAAAAGAGTTAAAGTTATGAAAATAAAAAAAAAAGTATATGTAGGCTTAAACAGGCCGGCCCATTTAAGCTCGAAATTAAATAGGCGGATTTACCATTTCAGTATCCAATTTACGAGTCCAACCCTATTGTTATACGAGTTTAAATGGGTTTGATCGATGGGCTCAGCCTGTTTTTCTGGCTCTACTCCTATCTCCATCAATGTCCCTTCTCACTCCTTCACCCCCACCACTACTTCTACGATGTCACCTTATTCACATCATGCAAGCCTTCGAGAACACGCACAAGACAAGCTTGTCTCCCTCATCATCCTCCCCTTCCACGAGAATGACCAATCATGTGGCAATCTCATGACCATCACCATCCATGCGTGACCTCTACTGCAAGTCCCCAACTTCCAATACTACGTGCCATGCACGGTAGGCATCTCGATGGACTGGTTCTCATAGCTGAGCATCGGCACATTGACGAAGCTCACCTTCTCCAAAAGCGAGATGAGATATGAATGATGGGTGTTCACCGGACATAGGAGTGGAGAGTGAGAGGATGTTGACAGAGATAGAAGTAAGAGAGGGGGGAGAAAGGGAGGGAGAATCTTGTTCTTCCTAGGAGTTGCATAATCAAGGATCTCATCTTTTACAACTCTTCTAGTTCTATTTATAAGTCACTTTCAACATGTTTCACCAGTATTAAGAAAAACTTAAAACTTATTAACTCTATCTTAAAATTTAATAAGTTCTCAACTTTGCCCCTATTAAATATACATACTTCAATAATATATTTTCTTTCTACAACATTCAATGGAGGGTAAAAGAGAAAATTTGTGATGAAAATTTAATAAAGTGATTTATAAATAGGACTAAAAAAATTCTTTTCTCTCTACCCTATAAATAGGACCAGAGGGATTATGCAGTAGTTGAAAAGGACATATAAGGAGAAAGGGAGAGAGAGAGAGGAAGGATCGAGACAAGTTGATCTCATCCCACGTGAGCCCAAGGAGGCATCCATAGATTTTTCATTTGATACAAATACATATGCATTAGTACCAGCAAACGGCCTCATTTTTGAAGGTGGAGCTCAAGCACTTCATCTTTTCAATTCTCGATTATTAGATTTTGAGCAAAGTTTTCAGGGAAGCTGGTTTTCAAAGCTGTATGTGCACTTGAGAGGGGAGGAGGGAGAAGGCATGGAGGAGAGAGCAACAAAAGCTTGGAAGCAGCAAAAAAAATGGGCCACCATGTGTAAAATAACGCCTGTTATATCAGTGGGGGCGAGATTACTTTAAATTTAATTGTTTAGGGTTTAAAATACATCATATATGAGGTTAGAGTTTAGATCACCCCAGCCCTATATTTAATCCTAAGTTTTAAAGGCATATTAATCAACAAGAACTGACTCATTTGGAAATTTTGTTATCTCTATTTTCCTCCCTTGAAGGTTCAAGCAAGAAAGTGGACATTATGGGTGGAGTTGTTGGAGGTTTAGCTTTTCTTTTGATCTTCTTTGCATTATTTGCCTGGATTAGACGACCAAAAACCCCTAAGGAGATTCCTAGAGGTAAATAACTGGTCAACTATTTTATACATTTAATTATATTAGGAGATACATCATGGGTTTTCACATTTTGCGTGAAAAATCTAGACTTTTATCTCTACGTAGGGATCTTCCTAATAGTTTTTTTTTTAATTTACAAATACTTCCATATCCATATGTAAGACACTTCTAACAACGTAAAAATTCAAGCATTTTTTTTAAAAATCTTATGAAGAATTGACTTACTTTTTTAGTTTTTTTTTAATCCACAACTAACTTTCATAATTTCCCAAACATAAATACACCGCGCACATTAACGAAGACAAGGATAAAAGTGAAAAGATATTTATAAATATTGACTTTTTTTCAATAATCTCTCATCTTCATAATATAAGACACTTTTAACATGTATCACACATACTAAGAATTGAAATTCAATTTTTTTAAAATCTTAAAAAATTGACTTACTTATTCTGTTTTTCCCTTATATTCACAATTAACAATCATAATTCCATGCAAAAATACTCTGCGCACATTAGCCAATATAATTGAAAGAAAGAAAAGAAAAGATATTTCTTAAAGCTAGAAAATGTTCTACATTTTGAATTAACAATAACTCGTAGAAAATATCTAACATATAAACCACAGGGAGCGTGTGTGTGTGTGTGTGTATTTTGACTAATGTTCTGTTGAACAGGAAAGATAATTGGAGCAAGCAAGTTGGACGGCCCAGTTAGTTACAGTTATGGGGAGTTGAAGTTTGCAACCAATAATTTTAGGGAAGAAAATAAACTAGGACAAGGAGGATATGGTGTTGTGTACAAGGTAAATTTATTTCAATTCTCGGCTTATTTTTATATTCAAAAAATACACTTTCATAATTGAAATTCTTAATCATCATGAATAGGGTACTCTAAAAAATGGAAAAATAGTTGCAATCAAGAAATTAAATGTCCGCCAATTCACGAGGATGGAGGAAGAATTTGAAAGTGAAGTGAAGCTGATTAGTAATGCTCATCATCTAAATCTTCTTCGACTTCTAGGATATTGCAAAAATAGGCACAACAGAATTCTTGTGTATGAATACATGAAAAACAACAGTCTTGACAAATTCTTGTTTGGTAAGCTCCTATCAACGCAACATTTTTGTCTTTGTCTTTTTAAGTAGTAGTTATAATGATTTACGCCCTTGACAAAAAAGTATTCACGTCATAATCTTATTGAAGGACTTGTAGTAAATTTCAGTATCAATTTTCTATTGAAAAGAAACTGAAGATGACTTTTATGTATGGCCCTCATTCTTAATCATACCCTCAAACTGTGCAAACTTGGAAAATAGGTGAAAAGAAAGGCTCACTCAATTGGAGGCAATGATATGATATAATTTTAGGAATGGCAAAGGGCTTGGCCTATCTGCATGAGGAATTTCATGTTAGTGTAAATGAGTTAGAGGGTAAAACTATCTATAAACCACTATACTATATTGCAACGTCGCCCACCAATTTTAAAAGATGGTGTGAAAATTTATCTATAAAAGGTCCACATTGACAAACATTGATCGTGAATATCAAAAAGACTGAAATTTTATTTGACTTGAAGTGCATATGTAAAAACGTATGTGTTCAAATTCTGTCTTAGCTGACAGAAATCTTAGACGCATTATTTTATTTTGTCATATGCTTCACACATACTTTGATTTCGTAATTGTCGGCTACTATGCATAGCCGCATACCCTACCACCTAAACTATATATCAATCCTTATATGGAGAGTTTATTTGTTGATTAACTTAAGTTTATATATATGCTTCAACATTTTGGATCACTACACAACCACACAGTACGGTCGAGATCCAAATTTGTGATATAATTAAATTTCATTCCATTAAAATATTTGAATAGTCTGTGTTGTCACTATCTATTTGGAGGCCAAAGACTCAACATATGGCCTGATTTCACCGGCAACTCACATCTACCTAACATGTTGGGATGAGGATCGTGAAGCCTCGGTTTCTTCACGTTTACTTTGAAAACAACAGCACCATTTGCCTTTTGCCCCGGAAACTGTCTTCGGTGCACCACATGGCCATAGTGCTTCTTACTCTGATAAAGCATTTAATTCATATTTTATATTTATTAAAATAAGTTTTTAATAAATATGCTTATTACCGATCTTGTCTAGATATAAACTAGACTATCTAAATTAATATTAAAATTTTTTATAATTTTTTAAAATTGATTATCCATATTTATTATGGAAGGTTCAGATTTAATATTATTTTTTTTAATTTTTATTTTTATAAATAAAATATTAAAAACAATGATAATCTCCCAACTAGCACTTCCCCAAAAAAATTAATAAAAAATTACAATAAATCTAGGAAAAATTATTTGTAAAATGGCTCCGTTGAGTTTGGTATCAATTATGCAACAAATTCCTATAATTATGAAACCTATATGATACAGAGAAATATTGACCAAGAGATGTTGAAGTTGCATATATTATTTGAATTACACCTAATATAATTAACTAGGGGAAAAATAGAGAATGAGCGCGGGGCAATTATTCCATATAAATTTGAACCAATCCATACACTCCCATTTTTAATAAGGTTCTAACTAAAAGTATACAAGTAGTGTAATGTGCCTCTCTATGGGTGCTGGTAACTATGTATGAATGAGTATAATCCGCGATTTAACAACAAAAGCATGAGTAAATTTGGAAATTAATCTTAAAAAAATTAAATATTAAATTTGAATCATTCAAATAAAATATGAATTGTCCAAATTGGTTATGAATAGATCTGTTAAAAATTTTCTAATTTTTATTTTGATAAATATAGATAAATAAAAATATTGAAACTAGTAAGTGACAAATATGTATGGCAAAATGTAATCATTACTTTAAATTCCTTAGGGACTTATCTTACATAATTTTTTCTGCAAAGTACATAAAAAAATATTGATATTTCTTGAAAAATTATAATTCTAAATATTAATTAAAGTGATATAAAAATAAATTATATGAGAAGTTTTAAAGTATTTATTAATTCCATTTGTATCTTCAATTTTTTATATAATAAATATAATAGTAAACAATATTTTAAATATGGCAAGTGTAATTTTAACAAGAAAGTAAGTGTACATTTTTTCTGATTTAATGCGGGACAGAAAATTTTGCTGCGTAGAGATGGCAGATTGACAAGTATTATTAATATAATGCACAAAGAAATCTTTCAAAACATCTAACCTTCCAATTTTTTTATTTGCTTTGCAAAAAAATTAGTATATTTTATCATTGACATTTTGAGTAGTGAAACATTGCTTCTCAATCATTTATTTTGTTTGTTACTTTGTGACATTTTATATTTTTTAATCAACTTTATATGTGACATGTATTTTAATTTGTTGATAAGTATGATTAAATAATCCATGCACTGCACGGGATGTGGTTAGTTTTAAATAAGAACGAGTCCAGATTTCATTAAGCAGCACCGATCGAAGACGGACCCATTTGTCCATTGATTATTTTTTTAGCACCTATATGCTCTTCGCAAACTGGCTTTGAATTATGGGCTGAATTTAAAGTCGTTCTCTCGGTCATTGCTGGAAATTTCCAAGTCTTCTCGCCAATTCTGAAGAAGTAGTCTTGCTTCTAAGCTTAGCGCAAGTGAGAAATGCCAGGTGCCAACAAAATCTATAGGCGTGTCGCTCACATAACTTTCATCCATTTCGTGGTCGGCCCGTCCCCTCATTGCTGTTCGCAATTGCATCCTTCGAGAATTTTAAAATGACGAAGTCAGTGGAGACAGTTCGATTTCGATCTCACTGACATTAAACCACATGACCATCTTCCATAGCCTATGAGCTCCATCACACACAAAGAAATATTTCTAACCAGTCTCGGCAAAAGATGCTTCAACGTCCTTATCTCCTTCTCTTAATCACCTTCATATTCTGGTCATGCTGGACTCTTAACGGCGTCGTTTCGGACCCACAGACCAAGCTTCTGCACACTGGGTGCAGTCCCTTCTACCAATACGTCTTGTCCAACTTCTCCACGTTCAACGAAAACATCAACACAACGTTTAGAGAAATCAGAGAGCAGATCGTAGCTCAGAACAAGTACTTCATGACGGAGCAGCAAGGCAACGGAGATAACCCAGTTTCCACTGTTTTTCAGTGCAGAAATTACCTCTCCATATCCGACTGTGTCGCCTGCTTCGATGTCGCTTCTGTACAAATCCGTAACTGCTCCAACGGCGCACACGGCGCTCGTGTCGTCTACGACGGCTGTTTCCTCGGATAGGAGAAACTAATCTACCTCATACGAGTTCATGTTTGACTTTTTCTTGTCTGAACAGTATATAGCATTATAGCTTACGGATGAGATATTTATGGCCACATTATTATCCTGTAGTAGGTGAGGTTGAGCCTTAGGACGGTTTGTTTGTGGGTCTGTATTTGTTAATTCTTTTATTGGCCGTATAGTTAATTACTCTTTTAATTTTAAATTATAAAATACTTTTAAATAAAATATTCCTTCTCTTTTTATTTATGAAAAATAATAATTTTTTTATATAAATAAAATTATACATTTCAATAAATATTTATTATACATTTTTTAAATCACCTCTCATAATTTATATTAACGAGAAATAATTAATGTATGCTTATATTGATTGACATAGGATATTTTAGTTTAATTTTTTTTATTCTCAGACATAATTGTTCTGGTTAATCAACTTTCTTAAATTGTGTAATGCAATTTTTTCTCTTATATATAGAAACGGAGGGAGTATCACATACTACTAACCTCTTTGAATATATTTAATAACCTTATCTTTCTAAAACAAAATATAAAATTTTAAAAATATCATCATTTAATATATTAAAAAGAGAATGGATGAAAATTAATTATAAAGAGAGAAATGATAATATTAAAATAACCCTATTTAATGAAACCTTAATTTTTTTTAAAGTGTCTTATATTTTAAAATGTTAGATTTCCTCCAAAAATATCTTATAATTTAGGACGGAGAGAGTATGTTAATATAAAAATGAAATTAAATAACAATAAATTTACACATTATGATTTTAATGATGAGGTAATATTTGATTAATTAAATGTTTAAATTTAGTTACATATTTTTTGTAGCGTTTGTAAAAAATTTATATAAAAATTAATTTCAATAATTATTTCTTTGATAAATAATTTAATGGACACAATTTCAACAAATCATGCACAATCAATAGAGTTGTAAATTCAAATAGTCAGTTGAAAAATTTACTAGATATACTTGGAATTATTGATAATGTCAATTGACAATTTAGAAGAGTCAATTGTAAATATTAATTTTTTGTTGTCAATATACAGATAAATCAATTGGGAAATCAAGTAAATAATTTGAGATTATTTATAATGTTAATTGAGAATTTACAGAAATCAGTTGTGAATCACAAGCCTACTTATGATTTTTTTTTTGGTCAAAATATAGATAAATCATTTGACAAATCTATTAAATATATTTGGAATTATTTGTAACATTAGTAGTTGTGAATTGTAAGCCAATCACTTGTGATTTTTTATCATCATTTGAGAAATCAACAAAAGATAGTTGGAAATTTACTAAATTTCATTGTGAATTTTAAACCAATCAACAACAGATAATTTATTGTAAATAAGGATCATGATTTGTTATTGAGATTTCAATAATTTAGGGTATATAATTGTTATTAATATTCTTATGGGGTTTCTAATTGTCATTTTTCCTAGAAAGAATAAAACTATTAACAAAGAGCTATATTATGTTTCCTACTTAATTAAAGGAGGTGTAATCCTTTCTATATTCATGTTGCTCACCATTTGCAGTAGCATATTGGGTTGTAAAGTCCTTTTTATCAGTTTTTCCACAAGAAGTTCATGTTGGGTTCCTTTTCTTTGCCCACCTCCACCAATTCCCCCTTACGTACTAATTCTTTTGTCTCATTGAGAATAAGAATGTAGGAATAATAGGATACAATTCATAATAGCTTATAATTAGAATATCTGACACTGAAAAGACATAACTAGCTCAGGCTATATGAGACCAGCCCTTTCTTTGATCACAAGGTTGATTTGTGGAATGCAACATCTATATTGAAATTTAATTTGAAAAAAATAAATGATTTGGCATACTTTGTGGCCTCGTGTGTTGAGGTATGAGACCAGCGCTTTCTTCGACCAAACGACATCGTCTTTCAATACCGCATCATGTGGTGGAAATCAGACTAAAGGAGAAGCCTCTACATTTACCTCTGCTGTGCGACAACAGCTAATGAATCTCCAAATGACAATACCCAAAATCTCTGGCTCTTTCGCAGCCATGAAGACGCAAGTGCCTAATAATGGTCCAACTATATATGCCTTTGCTCAATGTATTGAAACTGTCACAGAGAGTGGGTGCTTCAATTGCTTAAATGCAGCGTCTAGCAATATGCCAACTTGTCTTCCCAATTCAGATGGTAGGGCTTTTGCTGATGGCTGTTTCATGAGATACTCCACCACTTCCTTCTTTCCTGATAACCAGACCATTGGTATCACTCCCTTGAAAAAACAAGGTACAGTTCATTATTAATGCTTAATTTTAACACAGAAGATATAGATTCAATTTGCTTGTGTATATATGTAAATCTCCTGCTATATGTGTGTGTGTGTGTGTGTGTGTCATATCTCATCTCAATGCTTGATTAGACATAGAGTTTAATTAAATCTCATGTGTTTGTGTGTGTGTGTGTGTGTGTGTGTGTGTGTGTGTCATGCCATTTACTTAGCTTGATTAGATGATTGTCATGTCTCACATCAGGTTCGAGCAATAAGGGGGCCATCATTGGTGGAGTAGTTGCTGGGAGTGTAATCCTTGCTTTGATTGTCCTGGCATTTTTTCTTTGGGCCAAGCCACCAAAAAATCCTAAAAGGGTTCCAGGTGGAGGTAAACAAGTTTTGAAAAATCTTACATTCACTGCATATTAATCCTAATTGATTGGGCCTTTTAATTTATGAAGAGACTTTGACTAACGTTTTCCTTACAAGAGACATAATTGGAAGGATGCAGAATATAAACTTGGTAATTTCTGAAGATACTCTGACAAATGTTTTAATTCCTTACAGGAGACACAACCGGAGCAAGCAAGTTGAAAGGTCCGGTTAATTACAGTTACAAGGATTTGAAGCTTTCAACAAAAAATTTTAATGCAGATAATAAACTTGGACAAGGAGGATTTGGTACTGTATACAAGGTACGTAGCTACATATTTTGATCTGGATCATCTTCCAAAGTAGGGATGTTTTTTTGTGAGTTTTATTTAGTGTTGTAAAAACTTACATTTATTAAAGGACAAGGGGATCATATTACTTTTATGATTGAAATTCTTAATCATCATGAACAGGGAACTCTGAAGAATGGGAAAGTAGTTGCAGTCAAAAAGTTAACTTTACGCCATTCCAATAAAGTGGAGGATGAATTTGAGAGCGAAGTGAAACTTATAAGTAACGTTCATCATCGAAATCTTGTTCGACTTCTTGGATATTGCAGCAAAGACAATACAAGAATTCTTGTCTATGAATACATGAAAAATACCAGTCTTGACAAATTCTTATTTGGTAAACTCCTATCAACCTACCAAAATTTACATAATGTTCTTTAAGTATTAGCTACTTGACATCTTCACAATATTATAGCATGTGGATATCTTTTCAATTTCATATAATTGACTCTTCTAACAAACTTATTCATATGTAATAAACATTTATTGAAGGAATTAATAAAAGTCTACATCTATTTCCTCTATAAACATCTTGAGGATCACTTTTATTATAATCTCTACCTTTTGCACTTTACCATATGTAAACTTGATAACAGGTGAAATGAAAGGTTTTCTTGGTTGGAAGCAACGGTATGATATAATTTTAGGCACAGCAAGAGGTTTGGCTTATCTACACGAGGAATTCCATATTTGTATTATACATAGAGATATAAAGTCTAATAACATCCTCTTGGATGATGATTTTCAACCTAAAATTGCTGATTTTGGGTTAGCAAAACTTCTATCTGAGGACAAATCTCATCTGAGCACAAAATTTGCAGGAACCTTGTAAGTTGAAATAATTACATTTACCTATTTTTCTTTAACTTTTTATCACAGCATTGTATGAAAATAAAGTATATGTTTAGATCAACAGAATACTTCTATTGTATCAATAACAAGTTGTAACTTTTTATTTTTTGGTCTATAAAGCATGAATGCTGCGAGAAAGAGTTCATATATCTATGGTCCACATGACATAATATTATGTTTGTTCCAGTCTTTCAGATTTTGTTGTCTTGAGATTTATAATACATATGGTTGTGTCTGTGTTATTAATATGATTGCTCATGTAATAAATACTATATATTATTTATCAGAGGATATACAGCACCGGAATATGCATTAAATGGCCAATTATCTGAGAAGGCTGATGTCTATAGCTATGGTGTTGTGATCCTAGAAATTATTAGTGGTCGAAAAAGTGAAGAATTGAATATGAATGGTGAAGCTGAAGGTGAATTCCTCCTTCAAAAGGTAATGAAATTCATGTAAGTACTTAAAATTAATTCATTCGAAAAAGTTTTGACACGGAATTTTTTTAGTAACCAAACGCTATTTTTTCTTTGCTAGATAATATAAAAATTTTAAAAACGAACCAAAGTTTTTTTTTCTTTTGCATTTCTATTTCGGTTATTTTATTTAACTTGTAATTAATCCCAATTATTGTTAGGCATGGAAACTGTATGAGAGAGGCAGGCATTTAGAGTTGGTGGACAATACTTTAGACCCTATTGACTATGCTGTAGAAGAAGTAAAGAAAATCATAGAGATTGGTTTGCTTTGCACTCAAGCATCTCCTACAATAAGGCCGACAACGTCTGAAGTTGTTGTCTTGCTCCAAAACAAGGGTTTATTTGAAAATATGAGACCCACTATGCCTTTCTTGGTTGAAACTAATTAAATAAGGGCCCATGGAGAGGACTACACTTGGCTTCTACATCAACTTCCTCTTCGTCCAATGTTACGGCCTTGAGTTCTAATGTCAGAAAGATATACAGTTGTGTTGGTTGGAGGAATAAGAATAGATATCGAAGAAGAAAATACAAAATGACTGTTCTTTATTCCATTATTCTTCTACATTTGTTTGCAATCATACATCGATCCTTATAAAAGTATTTGTCTATTGATAATTTCGATAGTGTAAAGAGTTTTGAGTTAACTACATTAATCTACCTTATTGTTTGGTTAATTAATTTATGACATCCTTTTTTTTTTTGAAATCCAATTTTATTTTAAATGATGAAGTTAATTTTTCTTCAAAATATGACTTTGCACCATGATGTCTATCACTATACATACATTATAAATGGAACAATCTGGATGCATGATGTGCTGCAACAACTAGGAAAGAAGTTGCAGATGCTTTGATAGTTAAGTCAGTGACGTTTTTACATTTTTATGCAACTATCCATTATTTAATTGGAAATCTCAAAATCTAGCTTATTCCACCAATTAGGCCTCCAAAGTCCGTCCTTTGAATGAGTCCTGAACCGATGGGCCCACAAACAATTCAAAACTAGCTTGTGGGTCACACAACTTCCATAAATTGCATGCGAATCCTTTCCATATATTGCTATATCGTTTTATAGTAAAACAAAACGTAAAATATAGAAAAGAGTAATTTCATGTTTTTCAACTAAGGTTGGTGTTTTAAGCCCGGACTGACCGACAGCTACCCATATAATAAAAGTGACTTAATTTAACTCGTTAACCTGTTATGAAAATTAAATTGTTTTGAATCGTTTCGAACTAGATGATTTTGACAAACTCAAAACCCAAAATGGCTAGACCTTTTTTTACTCCTATTTTAATAATAAAATTTATTATTCAATTTAAAAAAATTAATGTTAACTTTTTTTTTCGATTGTTATATTAAAATTTCGAGTGCGTGACTTGTTTATTAGTGTAATATGAATTACACTGTAGAAACAATTAAAATTTATTTGCTCTAAAAGCTAAAGTAAATTAAAAAAATACATATAAAAGGTGAAAGCTCAATTCCATGTTAGCGGCTGTTCTCATTGGGTAATGGTTTTGAATTTCCAATTAATCTTCCAAGTCTTCCACCAATGAATTAATAATTAGTCTTCGCCAAGCCCATCTTCTGCAAACATTAAGCTCAGCTGGACCCAAGAAGCACCACATATATGACCTCTCTTTTCTTCTTCATCTTCGCTCTCTATCGATCTCGTCAACAAAACATGCTTCAGCCTAATTTCGTCCCTTTAATCAGGACCTTTATATTCTGGTCATGGTGGACACTTAACGGCATCGTTTCGGATCCACAGATCAATCTTGTAAACAAAGGGTGCACTCCATCCACATTACTAACCTCAACCAACTTCTCCATCATCGAGAACAGCATAAACGCAACGTTTAGTGACAAGTACTTCGCGACGGCGCAGCAAGGCAGTGGAGAATTCCCAGTATACAGTCTTTTTCAGTGCAGAAATTACCTCTCTATTCATGACTGTGTTACCTGTTTCGATGTTGCTGCCGTGGAAATCCGAAACTGCCCCGCAGTGGCACCCGGTGGCCGTGTTGTCTACGACGGCTGCTTCCTCAGGTTCAACTCCTCTACCAGTCGTATACACTGTTCTTCTTCTTGGTATCTTTTAACTGTAGATTGTCAAGATAAGGTATTTATTGACTATTATATATCCAAAAAACATATTTATCGGCAATGTTAAGAATAAACTCTGAACTGCTTCTATTTTATCTTAATTAAATATATTTTGTTTTTATTTTTTGAAACTTATATCTAGCATGAATAGTTAGGAAAAATAAACATACCCTTTATTTTTTTTTAGTTTTCATCATTTACATCCACCCACCGTTAATTTTTATTTATTTATTTCATCATTTAGTGTCTTAAGAAATCTGAGTATTACCACCTATGCTTCAATTAATTTGAACCCCTGCTGTATGAGATTATTATTACCAACCATGATCTCATGGGCACTTTAGAAATATCTTTGATATATTTATTTAACACGACTGCATATTTTAAGACTTGAACTTAAGATTTTAAGATAAGTTAATTCAACTCTATCAACTAGTTGAACCAAACGTCTATTGGTTCCACCCAACCATCAATTGTCTATTAATATTGTCTAAAAATATTTCAAATTACAAAAAAAAATTAATGCACATATTTTTTTATTTTTAATTTATATTTAAGATTTTTTAGTTATGTAAATGTATTTACTTAGTAATTTTAAAAAATTGAAATATATAAATTATCTAAAATAATATTCATAAAGTAGTTTTAAAAAATATAATGACATATGGATTAATATAATAAATTATTGGAAAAAAAATAATCGTTTAGTCCTCTAACTTTTAATTCACTTGTAACTCAGTTCTTCAATTACGACTCGCCATGACTTAGTCCCTTAACTATGACTTGCCTTGTCTCAGTCCCTCAACTTTTGAATCACTTACAAATTAGTCCCTGAATTTTTTATTATTTTTTTTCATGTTAGCTTATATCTCACATCAACGAGCAAGAGGAGGGTATTTTAGAATAATATATGAATATTTTTTTATCTCTTTTATTTGATAAAAATTAAAAAATAAGGACCGAATTATAGGTGAATCAAAAGTTGAGGGACTGAGTTGCAGCGAGTCATAGTTGAAGGACTGAGTTACAAGTGAGTTAAAAGTTGAAGGATTAAAAGATTAATTTTTCCTAAATTATTTAATAATAAGATCATAAGGGCAAATTAACAATTTCAAAATTTTTAACATAATTGCAAATAAAAAAATTAAGTATTTTAAAAATTTTAACCGATTGGATTGAGGTGTAGGTTCTGAAAATAGAGAGGATGCACATGTAATTTTAACAAAATAGAAAGATGATAATTGTATTTTACTCCAATACTATGTTTTCAAATATTAGAGAAACTACCTTGTTTCTCTTTGTTTTTATTTATAAAAAATTATAAATTTCAAGAAACATCTATCCCATTTTTTTCCAAATTGTCCCTCATAAAGTTAAGGTTCATTTTTATTAAACAAATTTATTTCATTAATTACAGAGATAATTTATTTCAGTTTTTTTTATTTTAGATATAATTATTACACTTACATAACTTTCTTAAACTTTGTGAATTGATTATTTTCTCTTATATTAAAAAATGGATGGATTTTTATTTACAACCTGTATCCAAAATATGAGACATTTCTTATTAACTAAATTTGGTCTAACATATATGCCATTTTGCAAAAATAATATCAATAGTATTAGATTATTTTTCTTACAAATTCCCTTATTAATTGTATTGTAGAGAGAGATTTTATAAGAAAAAGATTTAACATAATCAAGATAAATTAATTTTAATTGGAAGGTAATCCTAGAAAATAATGGTAATTTCTTACCTATTTAATGAGACAAACCATCTTTAACTAGATTCTTATAGTAGTAGTAATAGTTAAAAGCGGACACAGACTCTCTCTTAGAGAATCCATGCGAATAGTGTATTATATTTCGAACTAAGGGGTACGTGCGTGTGTATATAATATTCCTTCTGTGTCAAATTATAATACACTTTTAGGTAAAATCTCACATACCAATAAAAATTATTAAATACACTCAACAATTTTATTTTTTCAAAACAAAAATATAAACTTTTAAAAATATTCTTCATTTAAAAAATTTAAACCTACACTTAATTAGAATTAAATAGAGAGAGGGAAAGGCTAATATTAAAATAAGCTTATTTAATGAAATATTAATCTTTTTAAAGTGTCTTATATTTTAAAACGGCAAATATCTCCCAAAAGTGTTTTATAATTAGGGACGGAGGGAGTAATATATTATATTCTGTGTGATTTACATTAATTAAATAAATGCAAAAGAGATACCAAAATCTTTTACCAAATTAAGGGTACTATAGTTAGCAATTACACGCCTGTGGTTGGGACCTGAATCTATATAACTACATAAAATTTATGGTACAAAAGAGATATTATTATTAACAATTTTTACTTCATTTTCATGAAAAATATTTCATTTACAGTAAAAATTATTTGAAAATTATTAGTACATACACAATCATATCTTAACTTACAATATTTTACTCGGATAATAATATAAATAAAATCAATTTGAACAAATCATCAATAGAGTTGTCAAATTTATCAATCGAATTCGGATACAAATGTTCAATTAACTATTAGTAGATACTATATGAGGGGAGGCAAGTTCCCTGAAAAGTTTATAAATAGTAAGACTTTAGTAATATTAATCCATTATTAATTAATGTTCTAACACTCCTTTCCGTATCATTTGTTGCCATCTCTCTTATACAAAAAGAGTGACAAGAAATTTTCTCGCATAGCCTTGTTTTCTTATTTCACAAGGTATCCCCACAACCAGTAACCATGGGATTAATTCTCAATGAACTCTAAGCGTATTCTCTCTCAAGCGATGCTCTCAAATACACTTTCAAAAATCAAATTCCTTGAAATGAAGTTTAAGGGATCCGAACCATAACTATCTCTGCCACAACCATTTGGTTCCTCTTATAGCCTTTGATGATAGGCATTCACATTTTGAACCCATGGCCATAAACCTCAATCGCAAAAGTTCAATTTAATGGTACTAAGTTCTGAACAAATTTTTCTGAAAAATAAGTATAGCATTCACAGTTCAAAAATAATATAAAAGTAACCCACAGATGAAACATTCAATTACCTCTTGTAATTTTGATCTGTAAATAGCCAAACCGATATTGAACTCAGAAAAATGATATATGGTATACTTTGTGCATTGATCAGGCACGAGGTCAGTGATTTCTTTGAGGAGACAACGGATTTCAATGCCGTATCGTGTGGTAATCAAACTGCAACAGAATCCACCACATTTAGCTCAATTGTGCAACTAGTTCTAATGAATCTGCAAACAACGTCACCAATAAAACAAGGGTTTTTTGCAGCCACAAAAGCAGAATTGCCTGAGAATGGTTCAACTATTTATGCGTTTGCTCAATGTACTGAAACTATCACGCAGAGCGGGTGCCTCAATTGCTTGAACAGTGGGTACAACAATATGCTTACTTGTTTTCCCAATTCTGATGGCAAAGCTTATGCTTCTGGGTGCTACATGAGATACTCCAACACTTCATTCTTCCCTGATAATTACCAGACCATTGATGTCACTCCGTTGTTAGGCAAACAAGGTACGGTTAATTCATTCAAGGATTT